GAAGACTCATTTCTATATCTTTGGAATTGGAACTTCTATAATACGCTCAAGACTAGATGCCAAAGTCGATTCATCAATGAGACAACCACTTAGAATCGAAAGAAATATTCTGATTTTTAAAATCCTTTGATATATCCAAAGGATTGAAACTACACTGGTATGTTGTTCACATCTGTGTACCATTGAGAATATTATTTTGAAAATATCATAAAAGTTTGAACTTCAACGATATACAAATGAATCTTCCACAAAAGTCTCATTCTACTGTTATTAGGTTACTGAAATCGATTTTTTCACAAATAAATCTTACAAACTCAAGAATAAAACCCAAGGAAAAACAATTATTGTCAAGCGTGTATTTTAATTCTAGCATCTTGACAAACAGGAAGAAAACTTAAAAAAGTGCTCTGAATCTACGTCGGCGGACAGGTAATGGTCACAAAAGTGTTTATCCACCACGTAGTAGTCGCTAGGTATTTCTAGTCATCTGTTGCTAACGAGTAGTAAGTGGTTAGTTTAACTAGTCTGCAGTGTCTACATATGATGGAATATATTTAAAGCATGTAACAATCACTACTGATTAATCGATTTGTCCATTTTTTTAGAGATTAGTAAATATTGGCATTTACCGATTATTAGAAACAAGTAGAAGACCATTACAATATGTATGTGTTACTAATTCAAAAATTATTAGCTACATTATGATAACCATTTCCATTGTATCTTGAATTATTATAAATCTGAAATCCCACTATCTATACGCGTCAGAATGAAAATTTCACTGGAACTACATTGCATTATTATACACTTTTCAGAAAGATTTCCAATAGGATTGGTTAGGTAATATGATTTCACTTTGTATAATAATATATCAAAACATGTTCTAACTCAACAATTTTCGATTGGCGAAAATCGCTGATCGCTATTTAGTGCTTTTCTCGAGGTATTCGTCTTACATTAAACAACATTTTATTCTGACATCGACAATAGCTAGTAGAAACATTGGCACAACTTGTAGAACCAGAGTGAAAAAGATATATTTTAGAAAGTAAATATCATACATAGTGCTTCTTCAAGATCACTTGGATGAGTTTGCACATTCTCAATAGTTTTCATGTACTTGTTATCCCGGCTTAGAAAACCGAGACATTATGTTCACATAGAAAAAGTGATAAAATAATGAGCATGCGAGTTTCATAAAAATAATATGTGTGACGATCGACGATGCTTATATTGGCAAGTCACTAGAATGAATCATAATGTAGAGAGCCTATTGGGTCTCACTAGTTTTTCAATAGTTAGTAAGTCAAGGCCAAATCCAGCGACGAATTGAAATCCATTTATTTCCAAAAATTGAATCAATAATAACATAAGCATATTCGTCATTCATTGGCTCGAATATCTAATGTACCCTGTACAAACTAATATGAGTTATTTCTCATTTTTGACCGTTCATCAAAGTTCATGAATATGTCTTTCAGCTGCCGGCTTACATTAGCTTATACAGGATGTGTTAAGTACCAAGTTTGATTCTTTTTTGAGAGATATTCCATGCAAGCAGATGCTTTATGAGACAAAAACCTATTGAATAGGCAAACGGAGAATTCCTATTTTCCTACGAATGAAAAATGATTTATATGAGCGTGCGTACATTGGAGTCAATACTCAAAGCTAAGTATGGTATACCAGCATATAGAGAATTTTTCGCTCGACATGTTTCTTAGTGTTTTGCTCAGGAGAAAAAAGTGGCAAATTAACACGTGAAGTTATTTCCGAATACATTTTGAAAAATTATATTATATTAAAAGTTAGACTAGCTCTATAAAATGCTGATTCTCATGCCATTTAATGCACAATTAAATTCTGACAAATGTGTTCGTTGAAACAATTAGGCTACTTTGAATGAATCGAAAACAATATCTCAGATTTGTCCGAAATCAGGTATTTTTCATCATTTTGACAATTATTTTTTCTCTATGTATGTGTTCTAATACTTTGAAAATCACATTGAAAAATGCAGAACCTTGCCTAGAATATTATACTCACATCGATGGATATAGTTGTCCATATAGTCGCCGGAACTTTGTATCATACGATATGTAAACAGACCAACTCGCTCAATCTGGTTAGTAAATTTTAAATTCCAGCAGACGTATTCCTAAAGATTCTCTATAACTCTTTTCCTTTTTTTTGCCCTTTTACTATGAAATAAATGTTGACTTCGCTAACTTTACTTTAATGTGGAAAATCTATTCGAAAAGAAGTTAATAGTTTTGTAAAGGATCAAATTGTCTATTGACTAGCATAAAAACCAAAATTTAAAATAATTTTTCAATGCTTCAAAGATTTTAAATAAAACTAAACCATTTATTATGGAGCATACATTGTTGTGTTCCTTTCGGAAAAAAATTTTACAGTTATCCAAAAGAATTTTTAATTAAATTTTATAGTGAAGGAGATTTTTTATGAAAACTTTGCCATTCGAAAAGCTTTTGATTTTATCGACACATTCAGCAGCTTGAATTCCAACTCTTTTTCATATTTATTCGAGATCAAAGCTTTTTTCTTGAACTTCTTCTGGACGAGTAGCTTCGAAAAAAAAAAACAACATTGTTCAATTTCAATCTGCAACTTCGTTTACATGAAGGTCTCACTTAGACTATCTCATATATTAGATTTCATCCCTTGTGAATATTGCATCGTCTACATTTGAATTTCTTCAAATATTTACGGTTTTCTTAAATTTTATGTGTAATTAGCAGATATTTTGAAAAATTCATATGTTGACAATGCAATATTCAAAACGAATGAAATATAGCATATGAGATAGTCTAGATGAAACCTTTCTGTATATAAATCTAAAAAAAAAATGCTTTTTTCGAACACTGTCCGCTTCGAATGAGGTTCAATGAAAAGCTATCATCTCGAATACATATAGAAAAAAGTAGAAATCTTTTCAAGTTCTGCTGTTCTTAGGATTCTCTACATATAAGCATAGTATGACGAAAATAGGCAAGGTTTTTTGATTAAATTTTCACAAAGGCTGTTATTATCACAGACTTTGATTTTTTCATGAAGATCATTAGTTGTTGCGCAAAGTTTTTGGAACTGTAAGCGTACATATTCCTCTAACCTTAAGTAAGACATAGAAAGACATTTTATCAATACTATTTATCATTCTTACATATACAGCAGTAGTATTAATTTCATGGATAAGTTTTCAAATATTTCATCCTAGTGACAGATAAATAAGTTTTTTGAATGTCATAAATGAATAGTTTCTCTATATATTCTTGTTCTTCATATGTATTTGATTAAAGTTATAGAATATAAAGAAAACAGATAAATTACTTGTTAACCTAAACATTTAGATGTGAAAAAAAAAATTCTCGAATTCAATAATTATTCGTTTTACTTCACGATACTGATCTTGAAAGAAAAATGAAAGAGAAAGAGAGAAGAATGAAAAAAGTAATACAAATACATCCTGCAGTTCTTGTAAAATATAATTATTTTTTAACAGTCACACTGTATTCATAAGAAGAAGAAAAAAAAAACGAATGCCTAGAGTATTGACGGCAAATGCATAGGGTTACATTATGAGTATTGATGTTGACTAATATTTAATATTGATGATTATATGTACAGTTTCTTGCATAAGCTTTCGTTCGTTTGTCTTACTTTCATCAATGTCATAAGAAAATGAAATATGGATTGATATAAGATATTGTCTACAGTAAGTTTTTATTGATAATTCAATGAGTGATAAAATGATAAAAAAACGTTCAAACAATATTTTTGTTTTTGTGATGCAAAAAAAAACTATTGATGAATATGAATAAAAAAAAAAGAATGGATATTGTTTGTTGCATTTGTTATATCCGTATTTTTCTGTCTGTTTTATTGATTTCGAAAAAAAAAATCGATTGATATTTTTTTCCTTGCGACTAACACACATCGCATCAATTCTCTTCTAAGAACTTATTTTTTAAATGTTTCACAATGTTTTTTCATTTGTTTACACGTAATTTCAGATTTGCCTAAAGATTTTTACATATTAGTCATAACGAACAATATTTTCTTTTTTTCGCTTATTCTTTCCTTTTCTTTGCAATTAGAAAAAAAAAATGAAAATCATAATCTTGTAAGTAGTTCTGACATTACAATTACTTTTACGTCAAAGATTAATCATTCTTTTTTTTCTTTTTGCATTATGTTTTTTCACATATCGATTCAGTTTATACATAATTTATTCAGAATGTAGATCAAAGTCATGAGCTTGCTCCAATTACTAACATACAACGAGAATTAAGACGGATGGTAATCTATAGCACTTATTTTTTCTTTGAACTTTATATTTCTGAAAAGAAAGGATTTTATAGATCAACTGATCATTCATTATTCATGAATATACTCTAGCTATCTATGTTATTAATTTCACCGAAATCCGTAAGTCTTTGTTAGAATTGTAACCATTTTACTGTGATAATTCGAAGGACGAAAAATTCTCTGATAGACTTTATAGGGTATAACTCAGTAATGCTTAAATAAATCGAACTCAAAATTTTACTGAAGCTTTGGTTATAGCTAAACATTACTGCCTGCACGACTCACAAAAGATACATCTTCCGAAAAGAAACGATATGATAATAATTATCGTGTTGGTTCGAAGAATTCAGAGATCTCCAGAGACAACAATCTTACAGTGAATAAAATGATTTTCTGAATGAAGAGAGACCATACACTCCGCTTTAATTACATATTAAAATGTCAAAAATAAATCATGTATTCGATAAAAAGTAATCAGATATGTCATAATATCCACCGGTTGAGTGTCGAGCAGATACGAGTCATAATATCCGTCAGAATGAATACACGCGTGTACTAATCCATCAGGCATCAGTTTTTTCGAATATTAGCTTAGAGTTTGCTTTGCAGATTCACCAAAGTATGATAGTACTGGTTACGCCAATAATTTCAGTCAGGTTGGTACCACAGATGTAGCTTATGTTTGTTTTGAGGCTAACGACTAGTCCTACAGTAACTGAAGTTTTTTAGAGATCGTTAAGTGGATGATTTTAGCTACAAATTTCGAATATCCGTCTCGTTATGCCAAACTCAGTGTCAGATATTATAACATTCCTCAAAGTAATGAAAAATCTAGTGGATGGCTTTTTTCAGGTAAAATATCTTCAAGGAAAAATAGGTTTCGTTCATCATAATTCTTGTTGCATTTCAGCAATCGGAGCAAGCTCATGACTTTGATCTACATTCTGAGTGGATTCTATAATTATATTTTTAGATATATAAATAATTAATTAGAAAATTAACATGGAGAATACTATTAGGAGATACTTGGTTATTTATTTATTAATATTTGGTCTTCACACATTGACAACATATTCGAATGATGATTTTGAAGTTGTGGATGATGATCATAATATGAACGTAACGAAAAAGATGAGTTACGAAAATCTTATCGAACACATAATTAATAACAACAGAATTAGACGAGCTCTAGATGATAAAGCTATGGTCCCTAATGTTCCTACGAGTAAGTATCTTTATTTTCTAAGCTATTTATATATACATATATATTTTTTTTTCTTTGGTTTTCTTTTGATGAATTGTTGATCCATTTTCATGAATATTAGACAGATTGAATAGAGTTACTTAATCAATGAGTCGAGCTATTATTTACTTACCTTGACTCCAACAGATTAAATTCAAGATTAAAAAGATTAATTTATATGTTAGGTTGAAGTTGATTCAAGACATATAGGAGATTGTTTATCCAACACTACAACTTGACATGGTGCGTACGCATTATATACTGAGATAACATCTGTCAGTTTCAAGTTCTTCGCGAAGTGTCTGTTTAGTCGTCTATGTTACAAGCTACGATTTACAGACTTAGCCAACTCTACAGAAAAACCAATTGTTTAGTATTATTTATTTATATGTTACTTGAAAGTTTGGTTCTATGAGCTTTGACCATTAGTAATAATGAATGATGTGAAATGAATATGTCACTGGAAGATGCCAAATTATTTTTACATTATATTTTATTATCTAGCTAATAACTACAATTGTAAGTCGAGGTGCGAGGATTAACAGTGAGATTTGACGACTGTCGAACAATGTTGAGAATTTCTTGATCTTCAAAATTGAAATCCAGTACAAAATATTTGTAAAGATCATAAAGATAAAAATTTATATCAAAGAATTACTACTTTCTGAGTCTCGACAATAACAATTTGTAAATTTTTTAGATTTTGTTTGCCAAAAAAGCTGGCCGTAGTCACAGACATCTTCTGCTTCTTGTAAGATAGTCCGTCCAAAGTTCATGCATTTTCTTTATGTTGTCTGAAACAAAAAAAGAAGCAGAAGAATAAAACTTTCATGGATGTTGATCAAGACAGCCTTCGAATAGAATTTATTTTCAAACACAAAGTTTGGAAATAAGTTTACTCGTTATCAAATTATTCATGCTCATGGTTATTCTATATTTCCATAATAGAAGAGGTCGATCTAATGACATTACGTATGGCTAGGACATGGTTTCTGTTTTATTCGACATAAAATCTTTTATGCCAACAAAAAGATGATCACTACAATCTGTCTTTAAAGTTCCTCTCAATTTTCTTTGTTTATCTTTAGTATTTGATTTCACTACATGATGGATGCATATTTGAATGCGTGCAAACTTCAACGAGACTCTTGAGAGCTATCACCTCTAAATTAAATAAATTGGAGCAAAGTACTGATACTCTATGTTGCCAGAGAATCACTATTTTCCGTATTAACTTTTTTCTACATAGTAAAGTAAAAGAAACTTCGAAACAATAAACTATTCGACACGGATACACTGTATATAACGATGTTAGTTCTACAAACTGTTATTACAAGAAAATAAAATATAATGGAATCAATATTTATTCAAAAACTATGGCGTCAAGTGACTTAGATTACATTTGTATAGGATATTCTATGAAACTTTTACGCATATGACAGTGATAGTAAGACATTGATAGACGATCCATTACTGAGCAGTTTGAAACTAATATACAATATCAAGCATCACTATCAAGAATAGTCAAGATTCTAATGTTCTATCTATATATTTTATATTGCAGGTACTTTGCCAAATATAAATGCTCGAGCATTGATTGTTTCAAACTCAAGTGAAATATATATTATAACTAGTTTTGATTTTTCAGGTATTCATTTCATATGATTTCTGTTTATCTCACGTTTTTCTTCTCTACAAAGATACTACGATTGCAACTTCTATATCTACTGTTCAAACAAGCGAAGCTACAAGTAGTAGTTCAACTTCAAGTGTAATCTCAGATATACTTCATAATGGAACATATATTATAACAGGCATCTACTCTAGTATTTATTTCTAAGTTTTTTTCATTTTTTAATCTCTCTTTCTTTTGAAAGTAACAACCGCGGGAACTATTCAAACTATAACTTCCATAACAACTGCTAATACTACACCATTCATTCTTATCTCTTGTGACAATTCAACTCACATTACATGGACTAATGGTACTTGTGTTACAAGAGAATTTGCACAAGTAAAATAAATTATTCTTCCATTGCTGCTGTATTATTATTATTATTATAACTTGAGTTTTCTATTACAGATATCTTCCATCCTTACAATATTCAATAATTCTTCTAATGATACTGAAAAAGCCAATGCTCTTTCAATATATGTAACTGCAATTACTAACTCGAATGTAACATCAAATTCAAATAATACTCTAACAATCAGTCAAATTAATCAAGTAGTTGGTAATTTAAAGAGTGATAATCATACAAAAAATAGTAATGATTCAATTCTTATCGTAACAAGACCGAATCAAGAATTTAATGGAACAATTATCATAGGCGCTTCATTTCAAGAAGATGTTCGTGGTACAGTTGTTGATACTAGAAATAAAAATAATGTAACCAATTCAAATTTATCAGCTGCTGGTATTGTTACTGTTGAATCATTAAATGACGCTAAATCTTTCAATATGCTTATTGTAAATGATCCAACTCCATTTGAAAATGTTGATAATACAAGTAATAGAACACTTTCATCATCAATTGTTTTTGCTACAATAAATAGCACAAATTCGAATCGTACGAAAATATCTATTGATTTATATTTTCAAGTTTTAAAACCACCTAAACCAACTGAAGATGTCACATATTTGTGTACATATTATGATACAAATACTTCACAATGGAATGAATATGGTTGTACAATACCTCAATATAATACAAAATTTCAACGATATGAATGTCAATGTAATCATACAACATCTTTTGCTCTTATTTGGTTACCAAAACCTCCTGGACCACCAGGAAATATTCCACGAGCAGTATTAGATCATCAAGACAAAGCATCAATTGCATTTCAAATTATTTCAATTATTTGTTTCATAGGAGTTATTATTCATGGTATTGTTATGAAATTTACTAAACCACACATGTTTATTCAACTAAGATTATTAGTTTCATTGATATCATGTGTAGTTACAATGATACTTTTTATTTTTTATATTGCACTTGGTTTAACTGTTTATTCAAGATTTTCACAATCGAATACTATTGAAAACTCTCCTAATCGAGGACGAAGTTTTCAAGAAAATTCTAATGAAATAAATTTATTAGAAACTGAACTAAACTCACGAATTGATTCTTCATCTGTAAATTCATCTCTATCTTATATTCCATGTTTACCAAATGAACATGGTTTAATGTTTATTGTTTATTTCTTAATTATTTTTATGTTTGGTGTAAAAACTAGTTTTGGTTATTATAATTATCGTCGTTATGTTCAATTATATCCTCCACCATCACTTGTAAATCTTAGTATTACTATTGGTATATCTTTTCTTATTGGTATAATATATATGGCTATTGCAGCTGGCCTTAATTCTAATCCATCAAATAATATTTCTGAGATATATATAGGTAAACTTTGTTGGTTTAGTCGTAGTGTTATTCATTATTTTTTAACTATACCAATATGTATATTTCTTCTAACAAGTATAATTTTGATTATTTGGGTTGCTAAACGTATGATTGTTCATGCTAACGAAGCTGAATCAGCTGAGTCTATATATAAGCGAAGAAAATATTGTGTAATCGTAGTCTTAATATCTTGTGTTACTCAAGGTCTTGGTTGGCTTTTTGGTCCATTGATATTGATTACTGATCCGAAAGTTGGTGAAGTATTAGGATGGTTTTTTGTTATATTTAATGGATTGGAAGGTGTTTGGATAATACTTTTATATATTATTGCTCGAAAAGAACATATGGATGAAAACTTACGTGGCAAATACAAAGAACAGATGGAACTTCGAAAAATTGAAGGTGGAAAACCTAAGCCAGATGATCTGAATGTTGAGAGAAGACCTCCACTTTTGCAAGATTTGAGAAGTGATTCACCACGTAATTCATTTGTTGATTTGGCAGCAATAAATACGTGTCATTATCCGTATTCTGAAAATAACGATTATTTATAAATGTAAATAATTTTGTTTAATAAAGAAAATTTATCTCATTATTCTAATTTTTTTAATTGCGCTGTTGAATTCTATTATTCTGTTCATTCTGAAGGAATGCATAGGAAAAACACAAAGAGACTAAAGTATAGAATGACAAAGAAACAAGAATGATAGTTGTGACAAGAAAATGACAAATAAAACAAAGAGATATCACTAAAAGAGGAGGTTTTTAGACTAATCTGGAAAACATAGGGCAGGTGTGCAGAATCTAACGATGAGCGCAAACGGACATTCGGAGAAGTTTTTGAGAATTTAATAGCATCTCAGAAATTTTTTTTAACAAATATTTCCTTCCTAAGGAAGATTTTTCAAACGAATCTCGGTTTATTTATATATATATATATATATCGATAAGATGTATCTATTTTTCTTTTTCATTTTGTTTTGAGTAAACTTTTGAAGGGCTCATTCGTGCCTTTATCGTAGTATCAGTATCATCTATCTCTGTTTACATTTATCTTGAATCCTGTGACTTCCTTCACTCTGTCTCTTTCTGCCGATTCATGAATATAAATACACACTAGTTGTGTTCTACTCATTTCTTTCTATACTTTTCCCTAATAAAATGTTACTATTGTATGTGCGTATCCGTACACTATCACTAGCATGACTAATATATGGTCATCAGTTACTGAATCGAACCACTTTTTCTTTATTCGAGTTCAGTTCGGTTCGATTCAAGTAGTCCTAGTTCCACCAAGTCAGTAGTACATGATCGGTGGAAACCTGTTTCACTCTTGGTTTAGTTCAATTAAATCGTTTATGAAAAGTACAAATCATAAGATTACCGGAACCACACACGGTTTTGAATAGTAGCTTTCTTTTGTAACGTATATGTGTTATGTGTTAAATACTGTAGTAGTTATGGTTTTTGAAGAAAAATTTTAAACGAACGTATCAAATTCGTTTAGTTGATGATATCGGTCGACCATATAATATATATCTTGGAGTAGTTGATAGATTACTTTACCAAAATCAATCGAAATTTCACATGCCGTATATCTAAACGTTTACCGGTAAGTTCAATTCGAATCTATCCAACATCCATCATGGTAAGATTATCTATGAAGAAGAGCAACATTCTCACAAGTAGAAAATCAGCCATACAATTATAATCAGTGATAATAAGAGTTGCTGCAAAAATTGAACCTTGTAGATCACCACGTTTTATAGAGAAGCATCTCAATCTTTTATCTTGTATTTCTAGGATTTTTAGAAAAATTTTTAATCATGTCCAACTTCACTTCAGCTATGCTAGAGAAATGCTTACTCAAAATCTTTTATCCAAATAACCTTCAAAACAAATTTGATCAAACGACGATTTAAAATCGACAAAGACATTTGTCATCAGCGAATTATTTGACATAAAATAGGAGAATGCAAGGTATCTGAAAAGTAGTTCCCTATTTTGAATTCTTTATTATTCTCAAACAACAAACAATATCATAACGATTTTTTTTACTATTTTTGAAGTATGTGCCATGACATTTAGTTGTGGATGAAACAAGCCGATTGATGGTTCGATTATCTTACATCACGCTCGACTTTCGTCTTGAGAATATCTGGAAAAAAAACTCATTATATTGCATAGTTTATTATTCTTAAACGAGAACTCGGGTGTAGATGTGGAGTTTTGGTATGTGTTTGAACAATGCAAAAATATTTACCTACACCCACACCCTGATTCTAGTATCGAATAGTAAACTAATCAAAATAATGAATTTTTTCCAGATATTCTCAAGACGACATTCGGGTGTCATGTTAGACAGTCGAACGATCAATCGGCTTGTTTCATCTAGTCAGAACAAAATGTCATGGCACATATTTTGTTGTTTGAAAATAATAAAGAATTCAAAATAGGGACCTATTTTTCAGACACTCGGTATGTTCGATTAACAGAAGTATACGAGTTTGTAGACGATGGTCTAATTAAAACTCCCATCGATCATTAAATAGAAAAGATCTGTCTCAAAAATTTAAAAAAAAATGATTAAAGCATTGTCTTTCGTATACTTTTAGAAAAGAATCAGAAAGTGTGATAGATCTTGTTTGACTTATTAGACATATAGTACCATTTTTTGCTAGAAAAACTATGCATACTTCTCTTAACTTTTTTGATAAACAAAAAGCAGATGAGTAAAGAATAATCGTAGAGAACTACTAATTATCAGATATATTTAAATAAAATCGAGGTATCTGTTTCAAGATAAGTTGAGAAATATGGTGAAAGTCACAGGAATCTTTGGGGTATGCGTGTGTGTGGATATGTAAGGAAAGAATACCTACAACTACATCCCACACCCTTCTTTTTCTTGTATGTTTTAGATTTTAATAGAAAATCTTTCAGAAAATATAAAGAATTAATTCTCTTACCATAAATTAATGAACATGAATATGCAAATTATTCCTTTTCACCGTTTGGGCTAATATTTCACTCACAAAAAAGAGTCTCGATAAGACTAGAAAAATCTTTAAAAAGTTTGTGAGCATGGGCTTCTCTATGTAATCTAAACATGAACTAGGATTACTGAACGTCTCATTTTAACCGAAGTAATGTCTGCGATAGAATTAAAGAGGAATAGATGTAACCTTAATAATTCGACAATGATAACAGATAGGAGACGCATGGTCTTCTGCCTTCGAAAGAGAAGAACTTCCAACTTCTTTTTTTATTCGATGTTATATAAGACAAAATTCTTTTAAAATCCATCATAGTTGTAAAATATTCAAAAAAAAATGATTTATATGATGATCTTCTCATATCTCAATGTTGAGAAAACAAAATCGAATAATTTCGGCATATTTTCTTTTTCATAATTCGTCGAAATAAAATATCTTTTTTATGTATTTTTTTGAAAATTTGGTCTCGTGTAAGTATGTGGGCATAGACAGCGCATGCTAAAGATTCTAGAAGAAACAATAAATTTTTTTAAATCAATAATAATAATAAGTTTTCTATTTCAAAATTTATATATATAATCAATTTATTTATTTTCAAAATACTTTTTCTCTATCTTTGTTTTTCGATACAAATTCAATTACAATAGTATCTAAATCAATATTAAAATCACGTGCAATGTTTATTAAAGATAAACTGGATAATCTCTCTTGACTTGTCGTTTTACAAATGTATGTTTCAAGTCTTCATAATAAAGAAAAATTTCGTTCGCATTCATCAGTATTAATTGGAATCGTCCATAGTACTTTCAGTAAATTATTCATTGTATTAAGTGATTGATGAAAACTATTTTCTAGAAAAAATTTTGTTTCTACTGTTAATGTCAATTGATTTTTGTCTGTAAGTGCTATATTGTACATTCGTTGTTCATTCCTTAATTCATACTGTAGAAATGAACAATTCTTTTTTAATTCATTATCATATAAAAATACATTTGTTAAAAATAACTTTTCATATAATACGATTACATTTATATTATTTTCATTAAATCATTCTTTAATTGATACAATAATCACATTCAACACAGCATAAAAATAATTAATACAATAATTATCTTTAACAGATAATGTAGCCGGTGCAACATCACCACCACCACCACCTAAACATGTACAAACTTTTCTTTTTCAATCTTCACCAAGTTCATCAATATTATTTGTTACATAAATATCCATAGTTTCATTCCAAATGCGATCGAATTCTTGTTTCTCAGAGACTCAAGTCATGCAATAGTAATTTTGACTTGAACCAAAGTTTATGTCAAAGATATATCAGACTTTTGTAAATATTTTGATAATATATTCGTAACAAGAAATGTCTCACTCATCAAATGAATGTGAAAAATGAGATTAAATCTTTCTGAGTGAATGTGCGTGTTTCTCTCATAAACACCCATACTCACATCCTACTGTTCTCTAGAACACCCCGGTACAAGATACAGATTTTGTTATAGTGAAAAATACGCAAAGTATGGCGATCGAATACGTACATGAATGCTGTGCTTCTCAGCCGTATTAAAAGTCTTACTTCATTGGTTTGATGATCATTGATTCTCTATTCATAAGATCATTATAGACTCTCATCACCTTTGCAAAGTTGTGCATGGTGATAATGAAATGTATATGACTAGATAAAAAAAAAAATTAAATTTTAAATATTTGACAAATATTATTTGTTTTTTGGATTGCAATATCAAACGACTGTTTTTTTTTCATAGAAGTGATTAACCCTTTGAGGACCATGGAACATACGTTGTCCCACCTAGTTTTCAGTAAAGAAAATGTTTGCTCCATATTAAACTATTATAATCTTCAAGGTAAATAGGTCGCCTACCTGGTATCTCATGCAGGTCTTTTCTCTCTTTCTTCCTATCATATAGATCCTTCTCAGATGTCTTCCTTTCTTTCTCCTACTATATAATAACGCATGATTTCACCCTCTCTTTTCTCGATACATTGTTATGAGGTTTTTATCTGATCATTTTGAGCCAAATATAACAGGCTGATTGAAGAACCGTTTTTCAATTGAAAAAAAAATCAGTCCTCAAAGGGTTACTAGGAAAATTTTCTAACAATTTTTTGTTACGAAAGTCAATTCTTTTATAAGGATGATTAGTTTTTCTATGATTTTTTTTTAAATTGTAAGTGTAAATATTTCTCTAGCCTAAAGTAAGAAATCGAAGCACCTTATGCAAACAATGTTTGTGGCCACTTTTACACACATCACATCAACATTAATTTCATCAATAGATTTCCGAATATTTTATCTTAATGACAGACAAATAAGTTTTTTTTTTGTATGTCTTAATCGAATAGTTTCTCTTTATATATTCTTGTTCTTCGTGTATATTTAATTAAAGTTATAGAATGTAAGGAAAATAGATAAATTATTTGTCAATTTAAACATCTAGAAGTGAAAGAAAAAAAAACAATGAATTCAATAATTATTGTTTTTTTTTTAATGCTGATCTAGAGAGAGAAAAACGAAAATGAAAGAACAGAATTACAAATACACCATACAATTTTTATAAAATGTTGTTATTTTTTAACAGTCTCACGGCATTCATAAGAAGAAAAAAAAACCAATGTCTAGAGGACTGACGACAAATGAAGAAGTTACATTATGAGTATTTATATCGACTCATAAATTAAATATATATAGAGAATATCCTACAGATGTTTTCATTCATTGTTCATATTTTCACCGATTTTTATAAGAAAATATACAATATGAATTGATGTGATATGTTGACTGCTGAAAAATTATTTTCGGTAAGCTTATATAGTCAATTGAATCAGTGAAAATACTCAGATAATATTATTTTGTAACGCAAAAAAACAAAAAAATAAAAATCGTAGATGGATATTGTTCGTTGTACTTTTTTTTTTGTTTATCTTAATAGTTCCGAAAAAGAAAAACATTCGATTAATCTTTTTTTTCGTCTCTATTGAGACACATCGTCTGTTAGTTTCTTATGAGAACTCATTTCTTATATGTCTCACAATTTTTTTTTTCATTTGTTTACACATAATTTTAAAATTGACAAAGGATTTTTACATATGAGTCATAACGAATAATATTTTCTTTTTCAAAATAGGAACAAAAATTAAAAAAATGAAAATTGTATTCTTATAAGTGCTTTTGATATTACAATTACTTTCACATCAAAGACTCATTATTCATGATTTTTGATTTATATCTTTTTTGTAAGAATTCTAAAGTTAGAACATACTTTTTTCATTCAACTATCTTCGAATTCCAATGTGTTCGATATTTTTATTATTATGTAAAGAATTTTTTTTTTAGATATATAAATAATTAATTAGAAAATTAGCATGAGAAATATTATTAGTAAACGTTTGTTTATTTGTTTATTAATCTTTGATGTTTACATATTAACAATATATTCGTATGGTGATTTTGAATTTACGAATGATGATGATCATTATTTGAATGTAAACAAGAAAATGACTTTTGAAAATCTTATCGAGCGTCTTAATGCTAGACATAGATTTATAAGAGCTGTAGATGATCCAACTATGGTCAGTAATCTTCCTACAAGTAAGTATCGTTTTTTGACAACTATCAAACAATGTTGAGAATTTCTTGATCTTAAAATTAAAAATGAGTAGAAATAATTTAGATCATAGCCTTAAAGCAAAGATTTCATTGTCATTGGTCAATACGTCATTTTAATAGAATGTATTTTCAAATACGAAGTCTATAAATAAGCTCTCTTATGACGAAACTATATATCCTCACCATCATTCTATTATACCTAATAGAATAGACCAACTTGATGACATAGAGTAAGGCTATGCCATAGTCTCTTTTCTATTTGACAGTAAATCTTAAATTTGGACGAAAAGATGATCATTATAATATGTTTTGAGAGTTCTTTTCAATTTTTTTTATTTATTTTTACTATTCAATTTAACTAAATGATTGATCCATATATTAATAGATACAAACTTCAAAAGTATCCTTCACAGCTATTATGTCTAACTAAAATAAAAAAATATAGCTGATTTTTCATACGTATGAAAGCATATTTCAACCGTATGTTATTAATTATATAGATTACTCGGATCATTTTGATTTTTTTAATAGTCATTTTAAAAACTTGGCTTTGATATATTTCTATAAAAATAAATCCAATGATATTAACTTCAGTGACAATAAAACTAATGAGATAGATCTCTTCTAAATTGATGATCATCAAACTTATCGATCAGTCTGATCTAACAATCAGTTGTTATGATAGTAAATTTTCTTGAAAGTGTTGCAAAATTGAAACGACACACGGATCGTATGGAACCCAAATATTAATTGACAAAACTGAATCCACTAGTCAAGATATACGAAAAAAAAAACTTTTCGACAAGGATACACTATATATAAAAATGCTAGTTCTACCAACTATTATTGAAAAAAATAGAATCAATATTTATTGAAAATGTAGTGCAAATCGATTAAATATACATTTGTATAAGGGATTTCAGAAACTTTTAGATATATGATAGTGACAGTATAATATTAATAAACTAACTGTTCATCACTAAATAGTTGTAAACTAATATACAATATCAAGCATCCACTATTAGGAACAGTGATGATTCTAATGTTCTATGTATATATTTTATGTTACAGGTACTTTGCCAAATATAAATGCTCGAGCATTGAACGTTTCAAACTCAAGTGAAATATATATTATAACTAGTTTTGATTTTTCAGGTATTCATTTCATATGATTTCTTGTTATCTCATGTGTTTCTTCTCTACACAGCTACTACGAATTCAAATTCTATATCTACTGTTCAAACAAGCGAAGCTACAAGTAGTAGTTCAACTCCAAGTATAACCACAGATATACTTCATAATGGAACATATATTATAACAGGCACCTACTCTAGTATTGATTTTTTCCAAATATTTTTCATTTTTTTCAATCTCTTTTTCTTTTGAAAGTAACAACCGCGGGAACTATTCAAACTATAACTTCCATAACAACTGCTAATACTACGCCATTCACTCCTATTTCTTGTGACAACTCAACTCACATTACATGGACTAATGGTACTTGTGTTACAAGAGAATTTGCACAAGTAAGATAAATTATTCTTCCATTGCTGCTGTATTATTATTATTATAACTTGCGTTTTCTATTATAGACATCTTCCATCCTTACGATATTCAGTAATTCTTCTAATGATACTGAAAAAGCCAATGCTCTTTCAATATACATAACTGCAATTACTAACTCGAATGTAACATCAAATTCAAATAATACTTTAACAGTTAATCAAATTAATCAAGTAGTTGGTAATTTAACCAATGATAATTATACAGTAAATACTAATGATACAATTCTTATCATAACAAGACCAAATCGAGAACCTAATGAAAAAACTACAATAGGTGTTTCATTTCAAGAAGATGTTGGTGGTACAGTTGTTGATACTAGAAATAAAAATTATGTAACCAATTCAAATTTCTCTGCAGCGGGTATTGTTACTGTTGGATCATTAAGTGAGGCTAAATCTTTCAATATGTTTATTATAAATGATCCAACTCCATTTGAAAATTTTGATAATACAAGTAATAGAACACTTTCATCATCAATGATTTTTGCTACAATACAAGGAACACAAGTGAATCGTACGAAAATATCTATTGATTTATATTTTCAAGTTTTAAAACCACCTAAATCAACTGAAGATGTCAAATATTTGTGTACATTTTATGATACAAATACTTCACAATGGAATGAATATGGTTGTACAATACCTCAATATAATA